TCGAGGATTTACGAGCGTTGACAGGACCCTGGCCGGCCGCAGGGCGCGTTTCCGCCCTAAGATATTGCGCCCATTTCCCTGGCGTGGCGGAAAAAGTCGCGCGGCCTTCTGCACCCTAAACGACCGCAATCAATTCATTTGATTTTAGCGGCCGGGCCGCAGCGGGGCCGCGTGAAATGTGCCCCCACAGAGTTAAAAATTGCCTTCTAATATGATATACGCCGGTCACCATATGGCCGGAAAAGTGCCGCAGAGGGGAACTATATTTTCAGTTTCTTCCCCGGTATTGGAAAGCGATAGTATTTTCGCCCCGGCGGTTCTCTTATGGCCGGACGATATTTCACGGGTGCGGATGAGAACCGGGGGCGGAGGGGAAGGGTTAGCGGATTCAAGAGAAGCAGAGAGAGAAACCACGACCCAGGGGGAGCGAGCGAGACGCAAAACGGGTGCCGAGTGCGTCGGTGCAGTTAATATGCAAGTGGCGAGAAGCGCTGGAAAGATAATCGGCTGGCGCTGGGGCAACGCGAGGTCGTAGGTTAGGCTGCAATAGACCAGGAAGGTGATTTCCTCCCGTTCGACTGACGAGCGGCTCTCCAGAAATCACGACTCGCGGTATCCTCGATTTTATTCGTCACCCTGTGGCTCTCTCCCTCGAAAAGTCAATTTTCCCGAATTTACTCGAAGGGCGAATTTTGCATGGACGTTTCAGCGCATTCGTCCATCGCGCTTCCGTCGTTCGGAAGATGCCTGGGGCCCCACTTTTGCTGGTAAAAAAGCCCGTTCTAATTGGGCGATTCGGTTGACCCGACTGGTTTCGGGACCGTGTGGTTGCGAACTGTATGAAGCCCGTCGTACTCTGAATCGGGCGCAGTCTCCGATTCGGAGTTCGGCGCATCCGGCGGGACGAATTAAACGAGGCTGCTTAATGGCACTTGATTATGCCACTTACGTTAAACGAATTAATCCGCCTCGGAAAATCCGAGTTACTGGGGCCCGTGGGGTCGCATCGATCGTTGCGGATAATCGCGGTGCGGTTAATTCGTTTCCCTGGACCGGCGAGGGTCGACTGCGAGATAGGAAAGTCACGAGCGGTCCTAATCGCATGGCTCGGGTTGCCGTATATATTGACGTTATAAATGTTAATAAAATAGCGCTATCTAGAGGATTCGTCTAAGGCGCGCAGAGGGAGATCTCCGACTCCGTCTCTCTTCCGTCTCTTTTCCATGGTCGGGGGTCTCCATTGTTCTCAGACTGCAGCGGCAGGCTCCGACCGCGGAGACTGCACTCCTCCTTCCCTCTTCTTCGCCATCCGCAACGAGGTCTCGCGTGCTATCGGCATAAACGAGCCATTAGAGGGGCAATCGTTGCGCCCCAAGATCCCGATTACGCGATCGCGCCGTTCCTCCCAACCCACCGTCGAGCTCCGTCCAACGCGGCCGTCGCCGTCGACGAAAATTGCCGCTCGTACCGCGGACGAAACTTTTATCGGTGGATTAAACAATTAGGGGGGAAAAGGTCGGGACCTCGTTGTCTCTTTTCCCGGCGGACCGAGGGTGTACCAGGTGCCTCCTCCCACTTTTCGGCCCGGTTCTCCTTTTGACTCTTTCTCCCTTTCTCGATTGATTAACCGAGTGGGATGTGCCGGTGATCGCGTGGAAGCTGACGCCAGCTGTCCCTCGCCAAGAAAGAGGGTGGTTAACTGCATTTTTGCGTGGGCCCCCAGTCGTTCGTGTAGCTCGTGATTCGGGTGACGGCTTATTGAGGAAAACGAAGGAAACGCAGGTGTTTTAATAGGGAAAGTATCGAGCAGAGGTCAGGGGATGTCGCGACTACTTGGTCCGGCTCTACCGTCAACGAGCGAGGAAAGCACAGTAAATGGCGAAAGAGGACGTATACACCGGTGCCGATAATTTATTTATGGACGAGGAGGCCGGTGATAAAAGTCTTGTCGGAGGACGCCGAGGATTGAGCCCAACATTGTTCTTTATTATGGCTGCTGAGAACCCGGCTACCATTTGGTTAGAGTGGCTTGCATAATGCATCGGCGCTCGGTCCGAAAGCGACGCTCGAGAGCTCGCGAGATCTCGAGGTGCCGAAATATCGGCTGATCGATCCTCGGCCGGCCGATCCGGTCCAAGCTTTGTCTTCCTCGCCTAAACGGTCAGGAACGTGTCAATTCCTGCAATTAGCTTCCCTAGCTTTTTACTCTCGCCCGAAATGGTGCGAGTTCGTCGGAAGGAATGAGTTCCAGCAGGGAAACGGCGATTTGGGTCGCTCCTCCGTCGTCGCATCGACCGGTCGGGTGGATCAGCGCATAATAGGGTTTTTGACGTACGACGCTCTCATCCAGTTTTACGAGGTCGATGGTGGATCGGAAAAAATTCGCGGTTATTGCTGACGCCGCCGGTGGTTGGCTCGCGCGTCGCTGCCTGCTTCCGAGCTATAACGCGACGTCCGAACCGGTAACGTCAGCTGCTACGCCGAACTCCATATTTCAGTCATTTCGTCCCGAAAAGAGCGTCCATCGATGGAAACGCTCCGGAAAGGTTAATTCGGGATATCAGGGGTGAAATTTCGAGTACCGCCTGACGACCGATTTCGAAGTCGGTCTCCCAGCGCCAGGTCGAACGGTTCCAATCACGATTTTTCACCGATGATCGTCCTTACCTTTGGGGAGATTGCTCCGCGCGGAGTTGGCGGCGTGTACCTACGTGCCGCATCTATTTCGCCAAGTTTCGGCGCAGTTGACTCGAATGCTCGTGGCAAGCTATATGAGTTTCGCAACCTGGAACAAGTTCGCTGTCTTGAGAGATCCTCAAGGGGAAACTCGCAGGTTGACGCGGTTCACGAACTCGAGATTCCCCCCGGACGGTGGCTGCGAGACACTTTGGAATGGCGTTCGATGGCCGCGACGTATGCCGAATTTCGATGGATGAACGCTCGCTCGCCCCGGCAAATAAAATTCCCACGACTCAGATTGCGTCTTTCCGTCGCGCATCGGCCGATACGGAGCCAAGGAGATTGCGTCGGACGGATGAGCCGGAAATGGAATCGGTCGCGTGAGATCGGCTCACCCTGGCGGGGGATAATTATACGGGGGTGGTTTTCGAGCGGCGGGCAAGACGGCAATACTTCTTGTTGACGTTGATACGCGCAGAGTGAGTCGAGTAACTAACTAGTTTAGCTGCGGTGTAAATTCGTCATTCCATCGCACCCCCCGTAATTACAATCGCTTGTCGTGGTTCTCCGCCACCCTGCGCCACCACCCCCGCCCCTCAGTCCGTCCGTCCGCCCGTCCCGTTTCCCGTCCACCGCTGGCGCTCTTCCACCCCTAGGGAGGAGTAAAAAATAAATGGTAGTTGCCCTGATTGATTGCCGCCCCTGCTCGCTGGAACCACTCGCGCGGCACTTTTTGCATTTTTAATAGAGGGTCATTTTCACTGGCACGGGGCTCCCGCCCCTGCCCGATGATTTCGGGCCAGCCGGCGAAACTCGTAATGTCGATTTGAAAATTCAACCCGTGAGATCTCGCAAATCGAATAATCATTCCATGCCTCCGATGCATGCCGAGGCACCCCAATCGGTGGTATGCAAGTAGTGTGAGCGAATGGGAGGAATGGGGTATTAGAGGGAAAAATCACCTGACACGTGTCTGCATTTAATCGTATTTATATAATGTCATTAGTAATTACAACAAATTATTATCTACGGGGATACAGTAATTTCTTCGATAATTTGCTACTCGATCTTATCCCGTGTTTCGTTTTGTTTCGCCCGGTCCAATGCTCTCTGTTTCTGCTACCTGATACTCTCATCGAATTCACTTCAATTCTTCCTCCAAATAATTCTCTCGGTACAAACAACTACGGTTTTTTAAGGGCATACGCATTTCGCGTTCTGTACATCCTCTGTGCATACGACGCAAAAAACGGCCCGAGAAGGAAGCGAGCCAGGAAGGGTCCTCGATCTTAGTACCGGAAATTCGATTCCGGTGACTCACAGGTTATCCAGTCATATGAATGCTCGAGTTCTAACCTGAGGCCGTTACTCGCGTCGTAAGCGTCATATTAGCATACTTAACATCGATCGCGTACCAGCAAGTCTCGCGACTCGAGCTTTCCGAGGACGAATTCTTTCGGTGTCCACGCAGGGCGTCGCGTACTCGAGAGATCCCAGAATTCCGGTTCCGCGGAAACCTCGAAAAGCTCAAACTTAACGATTGGCTACTCGGTAGCCTGTCAACAGCAACTACAACGACACGACCCCTCGCGGAATGCAACTAGGCGATAGCGTCGATTACGGTACCGTATAATAAATGCACAAGCGCCATTAAGAATCAGCATTTTGCCGAAACGAGTCACAGGAGTACGGTAAAGACACGTATCGTTAATTGCCGGTGGAAGCTGCGCTCGCAATTGTCGCAGGGCGGACCTCGTTCCGGCAACCGCGAACGCAGCCCAAAGTGACGACCAGAGATTTTAAAGGAACGGTCTTGAGGGAGGAATTAACCGCTACCGCGTTATTACATATCTTACGATATTAACGGTAGGACGACGCAACAGTTACGGAATGCAAATCGACCGAATCTTAAACCTCTGGTAGCTTGGAAGGGACGATCGATCGCGAACGTATCCGTCTGTTTCGGGTGGGGCAAGAAAATGCCGATAAGGAAATATAACGAAATTTCCTAGGAGATCCTCGAAGACGGTTAACCTTGGTAAAGGAGAAGACAACGAGGGGTGTCACATAATGGTCCGACCACGACAGTCGGGCGCAACAGGACCAGTTCGGGATGCCCGATGAATGCTCGTGCGGACAACCGATCTCGTTGTCGCTCGATAAGGGAAAAAAGGGAGCTCCGAAGCTTTTCTCTTGCGTATTTTCAGATCCCGACCCTTTGGGGCTCCTCGGGGTATCGACCCCTGGGCCGAGTTTGCGATAGAACCGGCAGGTGTCCCGCGGAAAATAATCGATCCTGATTACTCCCCATTCATCGCAGCCTCCCGGCCACCGCCCTCGGCCTCCGGAGCTTTCGTCCCCGGGGACAATGGTTGGTGCCGTCTCTCTCGCGGAGCTTGCGTCGCCGCCGACATTTCCGCCGGCGAAGTCGGCAGGGTAATTAGCAGTTTTGACTGTCCGGGCACTTAGCCCATCCGGAAGTCGCGCGGCATTCCGAGATGTGCGCTCTGCGCCGAAGAATCGAACTTTTCCCCAAGAAACCCAGGAAGTCGTGTCAAACGAATCTCTCGCGTCCAGGCCTCGGTCGATCTTCCGACACTCGCGTCTTCCGTGCTTTCGAAAAATCCGCAACACGACTTCGTCCAGATCCGCCCGCCTAGCGGATTCTCGAGCCCCTAAGCGATCGATCGTCCCTAGAAGTCGTTGGGGAGCTTTCCTGAATTAGAGACGACAGGAAATCGCGCGGCCGGTTTCGCGATTATCTCAGATAGGTCCGGCCGCCGGAAATCAGCCGCGGGAACAATTTCGCCGCGTTCCGGGACACGGATTTATTTCGCGCGTCGAATTTCCGCAAACGCGGCGGAGCGTTCGGCGGAGCCTCGAGCTAGGCCTGCGTCGATGCGATTCACGTTGAAACGCGACGTTTATCTACAATATGTACAAAACGAAGCGAAGCACCCGACATCAGAAGCGTCGCCAAGAATCGAACGGCAGTGGTTTACGGTCAGGTACAAAGTAAGAGGGAAATCGCCGCTCGGAGACCCGGGTACCTCCTTATGGAATTCCTGATCTCCAAGACCATCCCCGTCCAAAATTCCATCCTCGGTGCCCTTCCCAGCCCTCGTTCGTCTTCCCGTTTGATGACGCGATGGCGAACGAAGGAAATTACGCGAGGCCGCGGACCCGTGCTCGGAAAAAGGTACCCGGGTGCCCGAGAACGTCTTGGGACCTAGGTGCGGCTTCTACTTGCGAGGTCTCCTCGGCTGGCGGAAGTAAAATGCGGAAACCATTCGTCGGGCCGCCCCGGGCAGCGACTCGCGGCGCGAACTTAAACCACAAAGCCCGTTCCAGCGACGGCTCTTCCGCAAGTCCGGGACCGTATTTGCTGGCCCGAGGCTACCGTGCAGTCTCTCCTGAATTCGGCCTAAGTCTGGCTGCGGCTCGAGTACGCGCGGACAACGCAAGGTTCTCCTCGAGCTCGATCTTCGCGCCTTCCCTCTCAAGGGTGCCCCGAACAGCTATAACGACAGGGTTTCCGAGCGACTTACCTTTGCACGTCTATCCCGCGTGGCACCGAACACCCGAGAAGCATCCGAGGCATTCGAGGAACGTCTCCGCGTTCCTTTAAGAAACTCCCCCGTACGGATATCGCCCGGGCGACCATGCGACTCAAATCGGGGCACCGAACCCCTCCTTTGGGATCGACGTGTGGGTGGTTTGAGGTTAAATTACGGAGTGAAAGGTTCTAACGCATCTTCACGGGGAAGTTGCGTGAAAAGGGCACCAGCGGTCAAGGATAACCCCTCTGGCGGAAACCGTCCAGATCTCTTATCGAGGTTAAGTTTCGCGGAAGCTCCCTGGAAAGTTGGGCTTCTCTCGGAGGTGAAGTTGGACTTCAGGGACGAAGCCACCTGGACTCATAGGGATTTCGAGGTCGGAGGTAGGGAGGGATGATTTTTGCACGAGACGGAGTTTGGTAGGGTGTTGCGTCGCGGTTATGCAGGGTGTAGGGTGGACGTCCAAGTTGGAAGTCCTTGGGACTGTGGTCCCGAACTAGTTCACAGGGATCCCTGGGTGTCCGAATGCCACGTGGGTGGTTTAGCTATTCACACGTACATGCATGTCAGCGTGGATGTACTCGTATTTATACTCGGTTATATTACATGCATATGCGTACGTATATATGTGTATGTATAATGCTGTATACAGTGCGCCCGCTGTCTCCGTGATATGATACAAAATAACGCGCCGGCAAGAGTCGAGTTCGAGATCACGTACAAAATTATGGCAAGTACCGACCGAAAAAAATAGATTCTCAGGAGGCGGAGAAACCGAGCTCGCAGGCGTCGATTTCTCCACTCGTCCGCCGGTTGCACGTGCCTTCGCCTCCCTCGTCTCCGAGCCCTAATACTTAATTATACTTTGTAAGTCGTTTAGTATGAAAATAATTTGAGCGCGCCTCTCGGGACGGCAGGAGTCCCGTCGCTGCCGCCCTTACCGCCTAGTAAAGACTAATTGGAAGCCCCGTCCTTGACGTAAGAATCACCTCCTGGCGGCGGCGAGCAGGAGGGCGGTTAGGAAGAGCACGAGGGCGATCTCCGGGACCAGGGCGACCGAGCCGGCGCCCAGGGCGTCCTTCGGCGTCTCGCCCGGTGGCCTCATCGACGGCTGGCTGTAGTCCCTTCCGTAATCTGCAAGCAGAATTACGAATTCCCCGTTGAGAAACCACTGTGGAAATCAAGGAGCCGCCCCTCGACGCCCACCCGAGCAATCGTCTCGGCTCCGTCTCCGTCTCCCGACGTCCCAACGCCGCGAGCGACGACCCGAGACCAGCTCCGCTGCTCCTGAAATATTCACCCGGATCTACGTCCTGTGTAATGGCCAATTCCGACTTCTATTATCGAACGAAAAACTCGTCAAACGGAGCCTTCGGTAAAAGGGGCGCGACGTTACGATTTTACATCGGTCACGCGGTTATTTCGGCGGCGAGCTAAAGATGCGTCAGAAGAGACGAGTGTCACGACGGAGGGGACGGACCGGAAAGCACGGCTGGGTCCGATCGGTGGGAAATTACACTCGGAGAATGGTTCGCCCGGGGAATCCGCGGAATCCTCAGGGGTGAAATAGGGTGCCGCGCCGCGAAATTCCCCTCGGTCGACCCGGCCAATAAAGAACTCGAGTTCCCGCCGGTGCTTGGAAAAAGTTTACGCCGCTCTGGGAAATCGAGAGGACGTGACTTTCCGGTTGGTCGACGTCGGCGTCGTCCTCTGGGTCGCGACGTCCGGTCACCGACTTTACAACCGGCGCTGCCGGTTAATTGACAAAAATCCGCCGCGTTCCCCCTGCCCCTGGCCTCTCAACGACGGAAAAGCGGACATACCCTAAGACCAGCTTTGACCGCGGATCATCGGTCGATCCTTGCTCATCGGCTACACAAATCGGCATTGTTCCTAAAATTGACGGGAACGGTACTTATGTCGGTATGCTCCCTCCAAAATTGTTCAACATCGTTTTAAAATCTTGAACGATGATGTGGTAAATCCGAGAATTTTGCGATTCGACGTTTCCGAATTTTTAGCGGGGATGTAGGTCAGTTCGTAACTTGGCCGCGCCGTTCCAGCAAGCCCTTTGTCGATCGATCGATTCGTTTCGAACATCTTTCGAGTAACGGCAACCACTTCCGGCCGGATCTCGTTGATTGCGCCTCAATCAGACGTTCGGTGCATGTCGATTGGTCGGACAGAGCCGTCTCTCTTGTTTCGGCGTTTTCGACGGACGTTCGGTGGCGAGCGCGAGGCGATATGACAGAATCAACCTGCCGCGGGCGCTTGCACGCAGGACGCGTTACATGGAAAAATTGATCTCGATTTGAACCTTTGTCCCTCGGAACGGCTCTGATCGTTGACACGTTCAAATTTACTCCCCGCATTTGAGGTAGCGCTAAGATCGAATTAATCAGCCCACTCGAGTAAAGAGGTTTTTTTTTTCCTAACCAGTGCCTATTTCGTAAGCTCCCGTAAGAATGAACTAAATAATGGCGGAGGTAATTAAACTTGACCGTAACCAATTTGTGTAGTAGGGAGGGCAATGATGGGTCCTTCAGCGAGGGTCGATTTTTTCCGGACAATGGAAGAGCTCTATACGGGGAGCTACGCGTAGTATATTTGGTGCAGTGTTGCAGAGTTGCCTCTCCGGATCGGAGAATGAATTATTCCTTTGAGTTCGGTGCACCGGAACAGTAGGTACGGGAATGCTTAGGTACTTAGGAGCAATGGATATTTACTGACCCGAACCTCGCCATTCCTCGACGTCGTAGTCGATGGGTCGTTGCTGTAATTTCTTGTTACCGTTCCTCCCTAGAATGTATAAGTTACAATTAATCGACCGACGGTAGGATCGAATTCGGCGGTCCACTGAATCGCGAGAGAGAGAGTGGCACGACTTTGACCCTTTCGGAGTCTCGCGTTCGAATTTGTCCCCGGACTCTGATCGATTCGACCCTTCGACCGTCTCTCCGTTGACCCGACGTTCTCGATTGTTTCAAAGAATGTCTCGAGCGACTTACTCGTTAATTATTCGACCGTCCTTTGCCGGTTTGTCTGAATTTTTCTCGGAGAACCTTCGTTTTTGCCAACTCCATCGCGATCCCCGGAACCTGGAAATGGGACTGGAAGTGCTATCGAACGTTTACCATTTTTCTTGCTGGACATGGTGACGTAGTAGGCGGCCTGCGTCGTCGTCGTCGTGGACGGAGCCGGAATCTCTGGAAGCAGAAAATCGCGACACGTCGCGCGTGAAAATCGCTCGCCTTACCGAGATCAAGGGAATATGCACTCCGCTCGTATACGTGTACGGAGAGAAGAGGCGCTTCGGCGAGACCGGTAAATCGAGCGTGGCGAGGGTTGACTTTGATACTCGAACTAAGAACGTCGCAAAGTCACCGGAGGGATTCTGGGCTTTCAATGGTCGCGACGTGGCTGACAGGGAAGACCCCCCCGTATGCTCTGAATTATCGATGCGTGTTTTCCCGCAAACGGAAACACCACGCAGCGAGAATCGGCACATTTAGCACTTTGCCATTTAGGTAATCCTTCGTTTGCTTTGCGCTTAGTAGGTTTTCCTCGCGCCCGGAGTACTTTGCTTTGCAAATGGCCGACCTCGCTGCCGAATGGAAAGATAACTTCGACACCGGGACGAAGGGAATCTTTCCCTCCGGATTTTCTTTTCTCGCTAACGTGGCAAAAATTGCGACTTTCGGGGAATGTTTCTCCACTCAACCTGGAGGGTAAACGAGACTCAGCAAGGACAGGGCGTGTACTTTAATTCATAAATCCTTCGTGTTAAATCATTTCTTTACCGCCCCCAGCTGTGGCTACCGTAAAATTTGATGTCGTTCCCAGATCGAAACGATTAGGGTGGGTGCATCGTCGCGCGGCTCCTGCCATTGTAAAGCAGCTCGATATATCGTAAACATCCTATCGCGAGGCATAAATAGTTAGGTGCCGTCAATAAGCGGCACAAGTGTCGCAGTAATCCGTAAGTATCGAGACGCGCCCGGTTCGCCGTTGAATCGTCGAGATCGCGAGTCCGCCGTGCATATTACGGCCGATAATATCGAATTCGCACACGATGGCGGCGATAAATCGGCGATCGTTCGCCGATCCAAACGGCGGCCCGACTAGGATCCTTGCGGAACGAGTGGCCAAGGAAATTGCTCGTTTGGACTTTTCGTTCCGACCGATTTACCTGCGTCGCCAGATGAGCGAAACGGGGAAAAAGTACGGGTCCTTTCGAGAGTACGGATTTCTTTTTCCGGGATTTAATCGCCAATTACCGGTCTCGCGTGCGGGCGGATGGACCTTGTCCGTCTGTCGATCCCGACGACGTCCGCCGCAATCACACGGCGCTCGAGGTAATTCCTTCCTTCCGGTCTCGAGGTCGAAACTCACCGTCCAACTTGATGACCCCGTCGGTGCCACCCAGGGAGTTCTGCGCGACGCACTTGTACGAGCCGAAGTCCTTGGGGCCGACGTTTCTGATCTTCAGCTGCATGTGCCTGCTGTACCCCTCTTCGGTATAGGTCGCCTCGTACTTATCTCCTGAAATGGAATGGTAATTGCCTGTGCCAATAAGACCCAATTCTCGGAGCGCGGAGGAGAGGGAGAGAGAGAAAGAGAGGGACGAGATGGGTTTCCGGGAGGCGCGCGGAAGGGGCGCCGAGGGAGATGCCGCCAGAAGGGACAAATAAATCGGAGAGGAGAGAAAAAAATAGAGGAGAAGCCCGGGAGGCGGACGAATCTACTTCCAATAATAATCCACGAATCGAGGCGACTCGACTCGCGGTCGCTTCGCGAAGTAAGCTATTTTACCGGAGACTATCATCTCGCTGTGCTCCGTGGTCCAATAGTTGATGGAAGGCGGATGCGCCTCGGTGTGGCACACCAGGGTGACGTCCTGACCGATGTAGGCTCCCTCCAGTTGATTCGGTATCGACAACATGGGCGGGACTGCAAAGACGAGCAAGTCGAACAAGTCACCTCTCGTCCGTCTCGACGCGTCGCCGGAACATCCGGTGACCCTCGTCCGTCCCCGAGGACCGACTTTTCGAGCTCCTTCGCGGTTACGTTCCCGAAACCCGGTCCCTCCTCGCGCGAGGACGATCGGAATACCCGGACCGAGCGGGCGGCCGTAAATCGGCGGCCTAATGAGACGTTGAAAACCGACCTAATGCATCCCGCGGCTCTCCGGGAGTGCCGTGTCGCAACACCCCCGACGGCCCTCTCTTTATAGCCGGGTGCAGGGAATGCACGCGCGATGTATCCGTTGTCCCAGCAATTTCGTTGCATTCAATGGCGCGACAATAGGGCTCCTTCCCCCTCGCCGGCCGTCACAATGGCTGCCGTGCGGGTGCTAGTCGGACGTGTGCCACCTCCATACGCCTACGTGTATTATTGCGGACCTAGCTCGGCACTAATCCACCGGAAATGCCGGCGCACCGATGCGATCGATTACGGATAATAAGGGTTGGAGACGTGCCCTGTGTATTCTTGCCCGAATTCGCCCGGAGATGACGTTCGCGCCCTTCCGGCAGAATCCTTGTCCGTGGAATACCGACCGTGGGGATCCAGATACTGAGGAGAATAATCCGAAAAGTGGTCGGGTTGGGCAGCGATGGATTTTCGGGGCGTAACTTTCCGTTCGAGGTGGTCGCGGCCGGTGGCTAAGCGCGCTCACCTGTACTTTCCTCGGAGACTCCGGGTTATGCAAAATTGCAAATCCATAAGTCGGCCAGTTCTCTGGATATCGGATTAGGAAGATTTACCGGGAAGGGCGGGTGCAGATAGTAACTTAACGAACGAATGAATATTCACGGGAGCCAGGGGTGGCCGGCGAGTCGCATAATGAGGTAACGTTATACCGAGCATCCGACCCGGCATCGTTCGAACTGGCGCTTGCCCATTGGTTCGGTAATTAATTCCTGAAATTATCTCCGAAATTTGCCATTCCTTTCTCCGATGATTTCGCACGCGTATTAAATAATCGCATCTATTCCGATCTGCTCGTTGTTTACGACATCGGCCGACCCCGCCGAGATTGCAGCCACCGACGTTTAACGCGACGTTAGCGGAGCTTAATCCCCTGCATGACTGGGATAAGAATGGAAATTAATTTTTATTTCATTAAGGCGTCGTCGCGACGATCGGTCCGAGTGGCTCGAGATCTCCGGATGCAGAGGCGAGGGTGGATGAAAGGGAAATGCTTACACTGAACGCGAAGGATCACTCGCACGCTGACCGGAGTGGGCACCCCGTTGGATGCGATGCAGAGGTAGGAGCCCATATGGAGTCTGCTGATCTTCGTGATGTGGAGGACCTCGCCGTCGATGACGTTGACTGAAACACGCCGAGAATAGTTTAAAGCGAGGGAGTTAGCGAGCTATGCGAAAGGGCGGGAAACGTAAGGAACCGGGCCGGGGCCGTGGAGCAATATTTTCCGCATCGCGAAAGCCCTTTCCCCGGGGGCGGCAGCGATCTCGACAAAATGGCCGCGATAAAACGCCACGAAGAATTCGCGCGCAGTCCCGCCGGGCGTAAAGCCCGCTACGGCGAGCCCTTCGGAACTTTGTTGTCTCGGAATTAAACGCTTTTCCCAAGCTTGGCCTCGAGGCTCCCTCCGACCGGGTATCAACTATGAGAGCGTGCAGTGATTCCGATGGAAACGGCAATTCGGAACGGTCGTTCCGCCCGCCGGTGTCGTAAACCCATTCCACTTCCGATGATCGAAACAGTAAACTCCGGCGCGCGATACATAAAATCGGCCCCGACTCCACGGGCGATCCATCGCTCGGCCTTCGCTCCGTTTCTATGATGCACTCGTCGAGGAGCTTTTTCTCCGTCCCTTCCGTGGAAGGGCGCTGTTTTCGACTTGCGCCGGCGATCGCTCGCTTCCTAGACCCGAGACTCCTCTTTGTTAACCGTTTAGCCCCGGATAGGGCTTGATTTCGCCCGACGTAAATCTCCCGCGGGCGCGCCCCGAGGGTCGAAGGTCCTGGACAACGTTTTCCGGAGCACGTCCGAGAGTTCGGAGGTGAGGTCGGCGCCGTAATGAGAAGTGCCGCCGCGGAGCGTCGTCCGATTTTTCCGCCGTTTCCCTCGACCTCCTGCGGCTCTTTTCCCCGGGCCCTCGCGAGCCAACGAAAATATTCGCGCGTTTAAACTGCTGCGCGCGACTCGTTCGCGCCTCGTCGCGCGCTCCAGGATCGGCACCCCCTGGAACACTCGCCGGTAATTCGCCGAGGGGTGCCGATGTTTCGGGGGGTCCTTCCAACTTAAACGGGGGCAAGTGCGAGCGGGCCGCGCTTGGTAAACGTAGCGTCGAGGGAGCGGGTCCCTCCGCTTGTATACCTACCCGATACCGGGTAAATTATCCGGGTAATTTGGGGCAGCGTAACGACGAGGATCATTAACGACGACGATCCGAGCGAACTTCCATTCGCCGCGTCACACGGGCGATTTTGCCCCGATCCGACAGCGATATCCGCCGGGCGAACGACGTTTCGGATCTCCTTCGTTCCCGCTTCGCGATGAAGGCGCGAACGCTCGCGGGAATGGAACAGTGGGCACTTTTACGGAGAGAGGTCCGAGCAGTGGCCCGGGGACCGTAATGGTTCTCCGTTAACCTCGTTAATGTCCACCTTGTGCGTTATACGACGCCGTAACCGGGTGACGTCGACCTCTTTTCGCCGCACTTTCGCACGCACTCGCGATTTAGCCAATTCCACTCTACGCGAGGTGACGACGCCATACGTGCCGGTTTTAATTCTTTACCGACGCGGGGTGGATACGCCATTTATTGATACCGCATACCCCGGCTCAACCGTGATAAGCCGTTCCCGATCCACCGCTAACCCTCCTACCCCCTGGCCATTAAATCGCGTAGGATCCGACGTAACGCCCTGCTTTCCGCGACCTGCGACTCGAACCGGCTCCGTCAATGAAACGATGAAATTAGGTGGTGCCATTGAGCGGATTCGAGGACCCGTTTCGGAACGGCGAGTGGCTAATCCGACGCAGCTCTCCAGTGAAAAATCGCGGCATTGCGTGTACGAGATAAAATTCGTTTCACGAAGACTGTGGCGGTAACGCGTCGGGGCCCCTTGTTGAATTTTCCGACAAGCTTGCCCGTCTCATTCCCCATTGATCGTTTCTCGACTATTGGCCCATTAACCGAGGTGGCCGTGGCCGAATTCGATCATCCAAACGGAGGAGAGAAACCGGCAAACTGGGCGCACCCTCCGCCCTCGACTGGACGAGATTTAGACGAGTGGCCCCGGTTTGTCGCGAGTTCTCGTTCCTCCCTATTGGGGTGCCGGACGTCCCGCAACGGGGTGGGCGTTAAACGCTCAACAGAACTCGCCGAGTCTTCGAACACTTACGCGGATGAAATCGGCACCGGAGCGCGACGAGTGCTCATCCCGGTATTCCGCGAAACGCTTCCCCGCGGCTCGGTGTGCGAGAAACGCGTGCGCGCGTATTCAGGATCTATCAATTGCTCTCGAGCCGTCGTTGCGGTTGTCGTTGTCGCCGATGACGGGGCTATATCGGCGCTAAAGCGGCAGTCCTGTGAAGCGCGTTTTTCAGGATTCACGAGGAGGATAGCTACGAGAGCGTTATTCCAGCTCGGATTTTTATAGACACGTTGGAGAACGCACGCGCGACAAAGCACCCTTTTTTTTCCATCTCGTTACATCTCCGCGCAGGCAAGGATTCTCCCCGGAGTCGCCTTTGATTTCCTCTTAACAATCCCGGAAATCGGCCCACGTTTCACGGCGGAACCCGCGCCAATTCTTCCCCTCGCCGAAACCTCGCTCTTCGCTTCGCGAATCGACGCAGGCATAATTCCCCAGCATCCTTCGAGTGCATGGATTTTTTCGAATAGGAAATAGGAAGAGCGACTCTTCGAGAGAGTCTCAATGGTAATGACCACTGTATCAATTTTCGGGTTACGCGCGTCAATGGGGGTCGACGAGCGGCGCGATTCAAGGGGAACGTCTGGAAGGTCGGGCGCGAAAACGCAATGCGAGGTTACAGGTGGAGCTCATCGGCGCGAGGGCGGCGAATCATCCCCGTTTTCCGCGGGCAAACACATGGCAAACCCGGGTATTGTTCGATTAACAATGCGGAGCGTCGTACGAGCGAGCGGGGGGAGAGGGAGCCGGAATGAGAGAGGCAGGCGTTCCCCGGTCGGCTGACACCTTCAAACGAAGTGCTTTTAATCGAGTAGTCCCCAGGGTCGCTGTGCGTTTCCCTCCCGCTCGATGCACTCGGTCGACGGCGAGCTCGCGAAACTCGCACCTAACGGGGGGGATTACCACGAGCGGAAGCTCCCCGCAAAGTGCACATACGAGCAAGCGACAGGCGGCTCTTCGGCGGTCTTCGGGGTCGTTCTGTCGCGGAATCGTCGCGGGGTGGCGGGGGACGGTGCCAGAAGTTTTTAAGCTCGCATCGGGACAATCGATCGGCGACTCTCGGTTGCAAGCTCCGCGCTCAACTCCTCCAGCGAAGCTCCCACAATGCCGGGACCGGACGAGTCTCGCGCTCGAGGCGGCACAAAGGAAGCGCACCGATGAAATAAATTAAGACCCGTTTACGGGGCTCGGCGGGGGAGATAATTTCAGAAGGAAAGCCGGAGGAAAAGTTTTCGCGCGACGAAAAGCTCTCCGCTGTCCGGCGTATTTGTACGCCGGCCGACCGTATCGGAACGCTTTGTCGGTGCGGGCAAAGACGTCGCGCCCTGGAAACGGGTCGAAGGGAGCGAAGCGACGATAAATACGGATATCGCGTTACGAATCCTCTCCGGGGCAGCCGGCGACCGCGGACCCCGTGGGTCGATGCAGGGAATCCCTCTCGGAGAGGGTTTGGAGGCTATCAGGTGGCAAGTAATGGCGACAGCCGCCTCCGGGCCCCAGAGGCCAACACATCAGTTAGTAACGGCCCGCTCGGAGCATGCTGCTTCGCTCGATATTTCCTCTAATTATGCTAATAATCGTGCCGCCGGTAGCAACGGCGCGTCACGGCCGCCCCGAAAGACATTCGAGCGCGTCGCGGCCGCGAGGGGTTCGGCTACCGATTCCGCTATCGGGCTCACGTCACCGGAGACCGAGTATCGCGCCACCACCCGAAGTGGCCCGGATGAAAGAGACGCGAATGAATTAGTCACTTAAATGGACGGGTATACAGCGAAGGGATATCTCTTTTCCCGGAGCTCGATCGATAGCCACGATACAGGCCATCGGGTAGAAAGCGACGTTTAGAGTGGATCGCGGCCTTTTCGGCGTTTAGGGGAGCCGCAGGAAATTTCCGGACGGGCGGCGCGCGCCGGAATAATTCCATTATCGCGGCTGCGCCGGCTCGAATTTCGGTCGTCCGACAGCCGGCGTAATAATTGATCGGGGAAGTTACCGCTGTGCGTAACGGCGACGGCAACGGCAACGGCAACGGCAACGGCAACGCTTTCGACTTAATTTCGCCGGTCGTCCTGTGGCGCTAACCGATCCTGGCGGCGCCGACGCCCGTCCGATGATGGAGCCGTCGCGATCATTTTTCACGCGGGATTAACTTCTGCTGCGTTTGACGTGTATTACGCTAGCGTCCGGATAAATTGAACGAACCCGGGCGAGAGGTGCGCGCCCTTCGCCCGAGCAACTTGCGTTTTCCGCGCGCGGTCCTCGCCGCCCCCGCGTCCGGTGCGCCTCCGAGGCACTCGGTGAATTATTTCTTCGACGGGATGAGATCCACCCTGGCCGCCTGTACTATGCATCGGAGGGCTCCTCGGAAGTCGAAAAAGCGTTGCGCAAGAATGGGTCGACGAGGAACTGGATCGAGGCGCGTCCTTGCGTTTCTTCTTCCTCGGGGTCCACGGAGAAGTCCGTCGATGAAAGGACGCTCTCCCTGGAGGGACTATGAATTATTCGACGGGCACTCACCGATTTCCCCGTTGTAGTTAATGTCCTTGCCGTCTTCGCGACGCCACATAACGTAAGGCTCCGGGTAGCCCGTGGCTTTGCACGTCAACGTCACGTTGGAAGCCTCGCGGACCACTATGTCCGTACTCATGTCCTTCATAACGATGGAAGGTGGAACTGGGGAGAGAGAGAAAGGGAAATCGATATTTTTTGGACATATCAGGATCGAGACATCGCTTATCTTTTTTTCGCGGAAAGATACAAGCAGGTGCGAAATAATCAGTACAAAGACGTAGAAAACCGTAGAGAGATGTACAATGACGCAGAATGACGCAGAATGACGCAGAATGACGCAGAAAGACGTAAAAAGACGTAAAAAGACGTAGAAGCGGGTACGAGCGGGTAGAAGCGGGTGCGAGTGGGTACAGGCTCGTTCGATAGATCAATTTGAAGGTAAGAATCTTCCCCGTCGGGCTGAAGCGATGGCAGGTGCGAAACAAATTCATTGGGGACAGGGCAGCCCGAAAACGGGCTGAATCTTGGCCCTGGATGTACGTACCCGTTACTTGTAGGTACCCCTGCCGACTGCGCATGGGGTTGGTGTTTACCTGGCACATGTACCACCCCCGGTCGGTCTCCTGGACCATCTTTATGTGCAGGAACCACGATCGGTGATCGTTGTACGACAGCGATATTCGGGGGTTCTGAGTGATGACGTTGTGGTGAATGGACAGGATGGTCTGGGTGTCGACTCGCACCCACGCCACCTGCAACGCGAGGTACTGCGGTCTCGTCGGCACGCCATTCGTTTCCAAACGGTCCGATTCACCTCAGACCTCTTTTCGTTATGTCAACTATTCGCAATCCGTGCAGACTGGTTAAACGAAGGCAAACACTATGGTAGGGAGGGCGCGAGTGCGTCCTGGATTCAAACCGCTAGAAAACCGTGAGGTCCGTTCCGCCCTCGGAGGACAACCGACCGTTTTTTGAGGCAAATCCCGTAGTCCTTGAACTTCTCCCCACGTTTCCTCGGACAATCTGCACCGCGTTAAAACAAAACCCCGGGACCTTCGGCTCTCGGAAACGCCCAACTCCGTGTACACATTTCTAATTAATGCATCTGCTAAGTGCACCACTTTGCGGGCGATTGCTCACTGGTAATGCGTTGCCGGTAGATTTCCCCGATAATAGGACTTACTCGTGGCTCGATCGGTACACCTCATCGACGTCAGTCGGAACCGGCCAGGTCGTATCCCCTGCAGCACGGACCCCAAAGTGCACACCGACCCTGCGGTCCGGCGCCCCACGTGGAACACGTCCACGCGATAATCCTCGGATATCCAGGAACCCGGGTCGATATTCCTCTTCCTCGAAAGCTTAAGCTCCGCGGTACTCGCGAGAAAAGCCAGGAGAACTTCCCTATCCAGGAGCGGAGCCGCGCCAGCAGCCCCGTCGATAGGATCCGCGGGTTCCTCCCGCATGCTGCACACGCCCCAACTTTTTCCAAATGCAAGGAGTGTAATTCCCACAAGCCCAAACATGTTTCGCGCGACCTCCGTGCGAGTACGCCGCGGGAATACCGGCGTCTCTCGTCGCGATCCTCGGCGACCTCCCTCCGAATTCGCGAAAGTCTCGTTTGCTCGATGAGCCATCGTCCTGAGGAAAGAGCCCCATCGAGTCGCCACGAGTTTTTCCTCCGTCGCGGAACGAGAGCGGAAAACTTGCATATGCACTTCGAAACATCCCGAACCTTGCGCGGTTGGCTCGCATTTACTCGCTCGGTTACAAATAAGCCCCAAGACGGCGGGCGGACTTTCCTGACAATTTTTCAAGAGGATCAGGAGAGGATTATGAACCAGGATTGAAAATTTCGCGACGGCGTTTTTTTTTTTTTGCCTCCCGGTTAATTTATGGAGCAAGGGGAGACTAGGATTGGACCGTAAGAACGACAATCTCCGGGCTCCGGTAATTCTGCCGTGGTAGTAATGACATCATTACAAAGTATTATGCTCAAAATTAGTTGCGTTGATTAGGATTTAACGAGGAAGCTTGTTTAACCAGCCAACCGGTACATTGTCCCTGGGTTTTCGCTTTAAATCGAAAGGACCGTCATTGGAAGGACGTTTCTAAGATTCTGCTACCACTTTACGGTGGATTTTCGCGCTTTCCTTATCTCCGTTTCCTAATTCATTTTGGAAGCGCGCTCGCTGAACTATGCACCCGGAGGAATTATTCATTGCGTACACGTACAACGTACCTGGTAGTTCTGCAGATTGTCGACGACGCAGGCGAGGAGAGCGTCTCGACCCACGCTCACCGTCACATTCGAAATCGGTTCAGCGAACATCGGCAGGTTCGGATCTGTAAGAAAATCGAGCGATCGGATTTAGAGCACCACGAAGCTTACCGCGGCGGCAGTCGCGGAATCGATAGAAACGTTAAATCCCCGGAGCTTGCGCGGATTCCTCGCGGGTGCGAGGACGAATTTATATTTTATCCCCCGAGATGCGTCGTCTCTCGATCCGTCGACTTCCACTTTGGATGTCCCATTTAAGGATTTAACTACGTAGGTATCTCGTAAAATTGGATGCGTGGCTGAAATATGCATTTGGCTCGCAGCAAACGGTTCCTCAGAGATAGGACATACCGCTTTCCGCAGCGGCGTCCTTCTATTCGCATCTCGACGGTGTCGTTAACTTTTTGCCTAGGAAGTTGCCTAAACTCGGAAACACATGGATCGCGTCGGTGAACCGACGACGGCTCCTCGAGGCCGAAAATACGAGGATCTCTGCGAAGGGAACACCGGATGAAACTCCTCTGGAGTGGCGTCGATCTCAAGTAATTCCTCGGAGTTGGGCCGAAAGAGACGCGAATTCAAGGCCCCGATCCGGCACGTCCTAGTTACGTTGGTGAAAAGGACGTGAGCCTTCCGCATCCGGTAACCCATTTTCCTTCGAATAAACAGCACATCCTTTTTCCCCCGATGGAGCACAATGCGACCCGGCCGAATTCCAAATCGATAGATTTCAATCCCTGCTCGCCCGATATTGCCCGCTCCCAATATCTTCCGGGTATATACGAATGACGTATCTCCTATACTGTGTACTTAAGAACGCCCCGATACACCGATTCCCTCCACTGATACGCCAGGAACTCGGGACTGGCGTATCAGTGGCAGGGCCGCAGGAATCAGGGAGAACGGCGTCCTTCGTCTCGGTCGGGATCGCCTCCGAATGAGAGATCGCGTCTCGTGACTTCTTAGCTCGCGAAAATATGTCCGCGATCCGTTTCGGGATCCATTTCTCGCCGATAGTTACGCCGAGGATAAATTGAAAAATTTGGCAACGATTTCCTACGTCGCGTTTCTGGTATCCATTAGGGGAGCGCGAATCTATCGAAGCAGTGCCGTTGTAATCCGTTGTACCGTGTGCTCGTTACAGGGACGTCGCGAGGTACGTCAGCGCCGTTTGTTACGCGTCGAACGAGTGACGTTTCACACGTCCCTACGCGTGTAGTTTTAAATGGGAGTCGTTAGGTCGGGTGTAGAATGGATCTCGGCCCGGCGAATTCCGGCGAGCTTCGTTATCCCCCGAATTCGCGAGGTATTCCAGGGCTTGGATAAAACACTCGCACCGGGGGAACTTGTTCGATGTATCTACTCGATACCGCGCCAGGACTAATAGTTCTGTCATAAATTTTTAACCACCTGATGCATCGCTTCGATATCGCGGCCGCACGTGTTACACGTGGTCCTCCGTTAACCCGTGCCCATTGGCAGAAAAATCTGTTTCCTGCATTGATTTCCGACACCAGATACCAGACTCCTCGTCGACCTCCGATTCCTGTAGTTTCGCGAAAGGCTTATTTACATCTTCCGCGCGTGCGATTATTAATTCCCGAAGGATCCGTGCTCGCCTCGCTTGGTGTTTTCAACAACGACCCTTCGACGCGTTCGCTGCCGGCAAGTTGAGCATGCAAACGCGACTACAAAGAACCGCGGGACGGCTAAAAAAAGGAACGGAGTCTGCCAATCACGGGAACGAAGTAACGAGAGGATCCGCGGGCAGACTCGCTCGCGGATTTCTCGCCCGAGTGGGTGCCGATATTGACCGGTGTCGCGAATCGGCTCGATTTCTGGGACACCTCTTTTCCGTCGACGGGTCGTTTCCGCGGAGTGGACGTATCCGCGCCCTCGTCCACGTCGAGGCATTAACTTTCCGGCATCGTCGTAGGCCTTCTTAACGAAGGGGAGGTCGCGAGGCAGGGTGGAGGTTCGACGCTGCTTGACTTTGGAATTTCTGAGGGATCCCACGCGTGTCGTCGTTAATTTCCCGTTAAATGAGCTTCGATCGCGCAAACCACCAAGTGCTCCGAAAGTAGCTCGAGGCTTGCGCGCAAAGTGACGCCGGCGTTTATCGAGTGCCGGAATTATGGGGCACTCCGTCAACGCGTCCCCCACCGTAATCGCGGTTGGGACGGCTCGAAGGGACTACGTATTAATAGACGCGCGAAAGGATTCTCGCCGAAGCCCTGGGAACCTTCGAAAAAGCCGTTCTTTCCTTCGTTGGTCTCGTTGGTTTCGCCCAAGCACTGAGGTGCTTCGCACCTTTCCCAGGGCGAAGTGGATTCCTTGCCAATTAACGCAGCCGATGTAGATACCTCGTTGCACTCCACTCTGTGTAACAACGAATAGCAATGCGGAACGCGTTCGTTTAGCCTGAGAAATGCCACGTGCACCTTGTGCGGGTTAAGTACAGGGGGTTGGTTAAAAATACAGGCGCGAAGAGGGGAATGGATTTATTTGACCCACGGTGAGATACCCTCTTCAGACATTACGCGTACTCATGCACGTAATAATAAAGTGTAACAATCAAGGGATGCAAAGTGAATGAAATTGCAGATTTTAGGCGCTAAGAGACGAGGACTCGGAGACGTCGGACGCGATATCCAAGGAAACGGGTCGATTGATCGCAAACGAACGGCTTACCCGGGGGAAAATTCTGCGCCCCCTTCGGTCCATCGATTAAGACGCACCTACATACGCCTAGAAAGCGGAGAAAGCCGGTCAAGGGTGCGGGGAAGTAGAAAGGAGGTCTCAAGAGCGAGCTATTCGCGCGATTTCTCGCACCTCCCTTTGTACGATCCCCGGGAAAAATGTCTCTCCGATAAACATGGCCGATGGAGTCTGCGCGGCGAGGCGCGAGGACAGTCAAAGAAAGGCAGATCTCTAACGAGAAACCATTGCTTTTGAGTGCCGTCTCCTGGAAAATGTTATTCCGGGTGCTTCGGTTGCGGTTAAAGGGTGTCGGCGGCTAAGAAAACACCGAGCCGAGCCGGCCCTGCTACTGATGGATTCCTGCGGACTGCCGGATGAAAACCGAGTCAATTATATGCCCCAAGAAATCGGGAAGACGTTTTGTAATTTCCTTAACTTAAGAGATCGCGGCGAGGGCTGGCCCTCTTAGGCATAAATCAACGCGTCGCGGGATACGCACATCCAACGCGGCGACGCTCACGGATCCGCGAACTTTGCGGCCCTATCTCATCGTTCGTAGCTGCAATTTCGAGTAAAGGAGCTGTTGTTTCGAAAGTACCGCGGCAGAGAGTTTCATGTGCCGTTTCTCCCGACCCGTCCGGAAGTTTCCCATTTTCCGGAGGAGAACCGCACGCGTTGCCCGGTGCTCAGAGCCGTGCCAAAATCGAGGAAACGGAGCGGCGCTCGCAAAGCCGGCAAAGCGGCCGCGGCGGGGAAGCGGGCAAAGCGTGGTCGGTTCTCGCGGAAATTACGGACCCGCCTTGCGTCCTCTTTGTAAAAAGCATATCGGCCGCTCACCGTAAAACCTGGACTTGTACGCGCCTTATCGAGGGGGACGGATAGCGCCGCGACGTCCTCGAGGAGGAGAGTTATCGAAAATGGCGAGGGGGCCCGGAGGAAGCGAAAGTGTCGCACGTTTTGCTCCGGGGAACGTGACGCGCGGAAACTCCGGCAAATGCGAGGTTTCCTCCCCGCCGCGACGTCTTCGAGAGAAGACAAATGCGAGGACGTCGGGCCTGCCTCCTAAGCGGATCTCTTGGCGGACTCTCCCTCGGTTTTGTCGCGACCTGTGCCCCTAGACGAAGTAGCTCCACTCGCGTAGTTTTCTAAATGCGGTGCAAAATTCCTAAGCAGGGAGCAGTCGATGCGGCTCTTTGCAGGATTCGTTTCCAATTTAAATCGGAGCGCCGACGCTGGGCGTCGGTTCTCAGAGGCCAGGTTTAAGGTCGCGACTCCTCCGAGTCGATATCGAGGCCGAGTGGCTCGTAGAGAGGAAGCGAAGATGACAGAAAGTTCGGCCGGTTATATTCCCGAAAGCGGCACCTCCGGGACCCCTTGGCCCTCGGGAGCTCGCAATTTAGAAACTTTCCCGGCGGGACAAAAGATTGCCGGGGAATTTTTAACGCGGTGTTCGCTTTTTATGTATCCGCCACCGCGGGACCGAGAAGACCCCGTCGCGGCTCGCGTCGCGCCAGAAAGTTCAGCGCCAAATTAACGGTGGAAAAATGACTGCCATTACCCCACCCCGCTCGGCGGGAAAAGGGCGAGGGGAGGCCACGATTTCCGGGGGTGTTCCTAATTGTAAGTGCCGCTCCGACTGCTCCAATTTGACCATCTTATGGCGAACCGCGGACCGAAGCGAAAGCGAGATCTCCCGCGTCGGCTCTTCCGGCTGGGAATTAACAATTAAGCTCGTCCTGTCGCTGCGACGGCGTTAATTGTTATTAACGCGAGGGCCCCTCGGGTCGCGATCGCGCAAAGTTAGAAACTGCCTTTTCGGACTATTCGCCGACGACGCCTAAGTACTCATAGCGAAGGAGCTCGAAAAGAGGGGCAGTGGTCCAGACCGGGAGGGAATAACTAACCCGAGGGAAGTTGCCGCTTCGAGTTTGGCGGGAAGACGCTCCCTCCAGAGGAAAGTGGTGTCATTCGAATCCGATATCGGTATTCGTTCGGTGAATGTTTACCGTTTATCCCGCAGGGCCAATCCCCGAGTTTTCTCAGCGATCTCGTCATCACGGTGCCAAGTTAATTCCCCCGACGCGGCATCGGGCGAAATTTAAAGGCTGACGTCACGGCGCATTACGACGGAAGGCACTTTGCATTAAGGAGCTTCGGAGCCCGCCGGGCCGAGGCTCGGAGGAAGAGGGAGGATCGAGTCGGGGGAAAAAAATGAACCGCGGAAGGAGAGATTATTTTATTTCCTATTTCTCACGCCTCTCATTCATATTCATGTCCGTGTCCGGGCACTTCGTCTTCGGCCGCGTGCTCCTCGCGGCGGCGAATAACTTTTCTAACGCTCCCAGCCGGGATTCGCGTCGTTTCCGCGGGGTCTTAGCCGACGTTGCTCGGTGGAATCCCGCGAATCAATTCGCGGGGACTCGTTTCCCAAAACGGCGGGGGGAGCGACCGTAAATAAGGGGAAAACGGTGCGAGCGGAATGGCGGGGGCGTTTCCATTCCTTGGGAAAATCTCCGCAGCGAACGAGAGCCCAAGGTGCACCGTTGAGATCTCAAATTACCTGTAAATTTGTAGAACCAAAGTCTATTTGTCCAGGAGGAATGTACCGGAGTACAATTCTTCTTGAATAAATACGACTTGGCTCCTGACTCCTCCAGTGACTCCTGCCTTTGAACTCGGCCCGAGGGATGGATGTTAAAATTACCTAGGGATAGGAATCTCTCAAAGAGGGGCGCACTTCACCAGGCTTCGTTAAATAACAAATTACCCTATGGAAAAGATCTGACGGAACGTCCTCTTTTCCTGGTTCGATCGCCCAACGACCGACTGCAATATCCTTAAAAAAAAAACCTTGTGCTATTAACACCCCTAAATTCACGTTTTCGCGTCAAGTAAGGCCAGTTCCATTGCGAGGATAATTTCTTGCCATTCGTTACCGTACTTTATCGGTGTTTCTGTGCCGCAATTAGTCCGCGCAACGTTTCCTTGGGTCTTATCCGCGACGAGTACTTTACGTTTCCTCCTCGGGGGACTCTCTTCGGGGACGAGAGGACGTCGTTAATTACGATCCGATAGCGTTACTCGTCGCGTAAGAAGTACCGGGTCTTGATTATCGCGTTGACGTGTAACTCCTTAAACAATGCCATCTCCTCCGTTATCCCACGGTCCCGTTTGCCAAGTCAGATTAACGGAGCAATTCGCGTGATTAACGCATAACCGGGTCGCGACCATCACGTTATTCATCAGCGTCGCGGCGGTGATAATCCTTACCGAGCGTTTTGACAGCGACGTAAATTTCCCGTCCTCCTGTCATCGGGATTGACCATTGCGAATGTGTCCGTAACGTCGACCCCTCCTCACCGCGGTTCACCTGTCCTGCTACGCCGCACATTGTCACGTCAGATTACCGTTAAACCAGCTCTTCCCTCTAATTAATGTACGATTCATTCGGCATGTCGGTCGGTCGCGAAAGATCTACAAATATTAACATCTCCACCGGAATACGGGGACTTTAAAATAGAGTGACCCATTTTGCAAGACCAGAAAATATCCCGAAATCGACGTTTCGCGTGATTTCATTCGGTTCGCGCGTTTACACGGAAAGGAAATCGAATCCAGACAGCACGAAGAGGGCGAATGTCGCGGTGAAATACCGACCGATAGACGTATCGATCGGAGGACGAAGAAGTACAAAGGAGCACTTGGGATCATCGCGTGCTTAAAGTCAGCCGCGCAGGAATGGCCGACCCAGCCCCGGGCTAGACAAAGCCTCGGCAAAGAGAATCCCTCGAGTCGCAGGGATCGGAATGCTTGTTCCGGCTTTTATGCCGTCAAATACTTTAAGCTGCGACATCTACTAATTTGACTGCGAAAGCTACGACGCTCGGTCGCGAACTCGAGGGCCCCCCGATAAAAGCCACCGTCACCTTAATTCGAAGCGTCCGGATATGACGAAGATGATCGTCTCACCGCACGAAGCCGGTGAGTATTCGAATTTCAAAAGAGTAAAGCTCTGGAAACGTAACCTAGCTGGCCGAACGAGTACGCTTGAGATTACGGAAACCCGTATTCCCTTTGCAAACCAGAAAAGCGGTGGAAGATGAGAGTTGGGGGTTAAGTTAAGTACGGGATGAGTGGCTCGAGTAATTGGACATTGACTATTCGGTCAAGTTCAACGAAAGTTTATGGAGCGAGATTCTTTCGAAACTACTCTGGAAATATTTGCCGTTAAACAGTGGGAATCGTGTTACGTTGGTATGGACCGGGAGCAAGGAATTCATGGAGATGACCTGTGTATCGCACTGGTGAAGGGTGAAAGATGATAGCGGTGGTCTGTTGACCCGATAATCAGTATTAACATGATTGATAACTGGGACATTTGTATTACAATTGGGCAAATTACAACCAAGCTGCGGATCCAAACGCTTGTATATTCATCTCATGACTAATTCACCGCATCTGATAACCCCTGTGTGGAATAATTATCACCTTCTGACCTAGGCTCGTGGAGCACCGAGAGTGTGGGAGGATGTACATTTTTTCGACGAGGCACATTTTTTTCGGCTCCTCTATAGATAGATGGTTTTCATACATTATACGAAAATCCCGAGAGAAAAAATCCGACGAATGACAATTGTGGAATGGCTAATCGCATCTGACTTGTCTGCGACGGAACGACGCACGGTCGTCAGCCAGCCAAGTTATATATGCATTTTACGCGGCCACTACTCAAAACGGCCCTTTTGACGACTTGGTCGGTGCAGTCGTTAAAGCGGCACCGCAAAATCCCAGGAGCAGTCGGTGCAGAACCAAGCTAATGGGGAGAAATCAAAATCGGCGGATCCGCAAATTGTTCTCCGAGATCAAAAACGTTCGAAAGCCGAAATCGCGCCGTCTCTTCCAAAGTCGTCCCTCGGCGATACAAATTTTTTGCGTTCACTATTCGAACTATTTTAGGTGTATCGATTTCCAACTCACTGTTACCGTAGTCGTCCGCAAACGAGTTATCCAGGGGTGGCACATGGTGGGTCGCCGTCCTCCCATGGATCTCCAGATTCCTTGTACGCCGACCTGGAATCATGATTGGAAAAAGCGTTATCCCTGTACACTTCGACGTCCCACTATCCTACTGCGTTTTTTCATCCACGAGTTTGTAATTGAATACTTCCCCTGCAAAATGAGACATTTTTCACGGATTATTTAGCCGAAAAAAAAAAATGTCCCGAAAGAATCTCGTTTCGGAGGCCTTCCTCTGGCGCACTTGGCCAAATCCGTATGTACGTTCGTGCACGTACAGCGTGTTTCTCGGATCCTCTCGCTCGATCCCTCTTCCTGTCCTTTTCGTCGCGGTCTGCCGCCCGCCATTTTCCCGCCTGCCAAATCCCCACAATTTCGTGGAGAAAAATCCGAATTTCATTCTCCGCGCTCCTCGGCTGCGATGTAAATTGAGAGCCCCGGCAGTTTTTTCGCCGAAGCGGAGACACGCGAGATATTGAGTGTAATGTGTCAAAGAGTCGTTTTTAAAAAGGGAAAACTGAAAAACCCCGGCGTTGCGCACCGGATCCGGGCCGCAAAGGGGAGAGCATTAGGCTCCCGGAATTGCGGCGTATATTTTCTCCTACGTGGTACGATGACGATTCATTGGGAAACTTTTTCAAGGATAATTAGAAGGATGCCAAAGCCCCGCTGCGTGAAATTTCAGGTGTACGGGAACCTCCGTGATTCCGCGATCCATGCTTCCTTCCGGCCGCCACGCTCTACCGCTTCCCTAGGCAATAAGTGCAATTCTTTCCCCTCCCGGGATAGGGTGGAGCGTGTCAAAGGATCATTTCAAAAAACGAAATATTCATCCCCGATACGCCTTACTTACCGCGCTCGAGAGGCGAAGAAACGACCACTCGAGATCTCGAGATCGTTTGATCTTTTCCATTGGAGGAGGCCCACTTTTGAGTAAGTGCTCCTCCGCTCCGGACTCGTCCTCGCGCGGCACGCACTCCGGCAAAGTAGGCACCGACTGTGATTTCTCTCGGCAACGCGTGCCACGCCGCGCGTAAAGCGTAATACTTTCGAGGACACGGCTCGGGACGCGTTAAAGCGTCGTATTTATGGCGGGAATATATCATGACAAATGGAACCGTTAGGCGCGACTAGTCGTGAAACATTGGCCGCACCGGATCCCGTACTTTCGGAAACTGCGAGATCGACGCACTCGAGGTCGACGTCGTTTCCGCCTGCGGAGGACCGACTCGTGGCCGCGATTCGCTAACGAGTCGCGGCGGTGTTGCGCATCGCTGGATAACGATGATCGCATTGTTGGAGGGGCGGCCTCCGTCAGGGATTACCGATGATCTCGGCTCATCGGGAAGTAGGGTCGGGCCCGACCGGGGGTCCTCGTCGAAGCGGAGAGAGGGCGTAACGAGGTCGATTAAACGGACTAAGACGCGGTACGCGACCACATGAGGTATCGTCGGGGCCGAAACGGATCCGAGGGTTGCCGGTAACCCGTCCGTGTCCGTCGTGCCTGCCAAGTCCGCTCGAATTACGCTCGCCGGCTCGCTCGTCCAAAATAATTCAATCCGGCCGGAGGATAAATTCGGACCTCTTTGAATTCGCGGCTGCACGACGGTACGTGCGACTCGCGAGGGGGACGCGCGCCGTCCGTTGGACCGACGGAAAGGTAGACCGACGCGTGACCGGAGCGACAACTACCGGGAGTGGTCACCGCGCTCCGGCAAACGGTCGTCTGCACTTTTCAAGGGGCGGGCCTCTGTATTCCGACCCGTGCTTTCAATTTTCCAGGCCCGGACTCGCGCGATTCAATTCCTTCCGCGGACCGCGGCTACTCCACCTGGCCGCCAACTTTCGGGGAAGCCTCTCCAGGTCGATGATTAAAAGCGCCGCGGATGGGCGTCTGCCCTCGCACCCACTGCGCCCGGCCGATGGAGCCATCGGGTGATTTCGCTCGACTGTCACTAAGGAGGGATTCCCAAGATGAATTTAGAGATCTCCTCTCGGGATGAAAGGTGACTTCGAGGATGCGTCCTTGGCGGATAGTCTGTATCGTAGCGATAACCCGTCGCGTAACCCTCGGAATATGCGGAACCACTGGTCGAGGCTTACGACGTGCTCGAGGGTTAACGAGGGTTCGGAACTCCCACCCCTCGTTAAGGACTGTTACGCCTCGACGTGTAAGGGCGTACCTCGTAAGGAAACCGCTCCTGCAAGCAGCCGGACTTGTCCACCGTGATTAAAAAATAACGGGTTATAAATTATTCCTCGACCCCCCCAACTGAGGATGCAACGAGGAAATCCCAGAAAAATCCAATCGCGTTTCCTACGTCTCTGCAGCGCCACAAGGAGGAGCTTATTTATTTATATGCCATTAAATTCGAAGAACACCATTTCTTTCCCCGAGTCGTCGGCCCCCGCAGTCGTCCTGCCGAGAACAAGGCCAGGGATGACGGAGGACTCCCCGGCGAGGGGCGCCGCCGTCGGCCGTCGGCTGTCTTGTCCGACTTTTTGTCACTTCGTGTAACCCTCGCAAGGTTTACGTCGATTTATCTTCACACGCGGACGAGCGACGGATCGCGGATGTTCCTTCGAAGGCGCGGCCCTCTTTTGCTCTATTAATCACATCCATGAACCACCGCGGAGGTGGCAGGACAGCCGAGGCTCCCCAGGGATGGAGGGACCGATTGTTTACCAACCACCTACCAGATATCGGCGTGTTTCTTCGTGGGGGAAATACGAGAGTCCAAACAAGCCACTAAGGGTTGTCACGTGTTTTTCTCAGTCGTCAACCCTTCCAACGCCGAGGATCGCGAACGCGCAAGGGTCGTTCGGAAGGGCGTCGTTTCCGACACTTTTACCGTTCGCCGGTATTAATCGATCGTGCCACCAAACCGCAAGAGCCCACGCGGGGTCACGCGGGATTCCTTGTATTAAAAGTGGAAATACGAGGTTCCGGGCGACACCTCCTCCCCTACCCCTCGAGCCTCCACTCGAGCCGAGAGAATTCCGTCTTCTCGCGAAATTCCCTTGCGCTCCGCCGCGCCGCCGAGAATTCCTCGAGGGGCCCAAGAATTATGCCGCAGCCTCGGTTAAGTAGGTCTTAAGACTCCGGGAGGTTTCTTCAGATTTTTATTGTGCATTATGTGCTCCGCTCTATTTAATGGCTCGCAACCGCACGAAATTCTCGGGGGACGCGCCGGCGCGAACTTCCAGCCCGGCAGCCCCTAATATAGGTGTATACTCTCCGAGGGGTGTTTTACCCCGAGTTGGTTCGTTCCGGTCTGTCGCGCTATTTTTCCGCTCGGCTCTTCAACTAATTTAACTAATGTAGGCAGCACAGGTACCGCGGTGAAATTCCATTACCTATGAGACTTCTCCCTCGGTGCTCGATCGACCAACCGGCGGCTCGGTCGAGGCAGTCCGCGGAAATTCGGAACGCGGTGGACTCCTTTCGTGACATCACGGAAACCCGATCGACTTTTTCGGGGGAGCCTCGATGGGATTAATTACCTGAAACGGGATGTAAAACCGCCCTCCGCGCGCACCTTCGTCTACCTCCACCCACCGATTCGATCAAAATAAATGGTTTAATAATTTTGGATACCCGCCCAAGGCAGTGCGACTCGAGTACCGAAATCAATCCGCAGCGGGCACCGCTAACGAGAGATTACGCCGCGGCGCGGCGCGATTACGCGATGTTTGCGCCAGACGCAAAATCTCTTTCGGGGGGTGAACAGAGGCTTTTGCCGCGTCGAGAGAAAAACTCTTGTCGAGGGAGTCCAACGAGTCGAAACGAATTTTCCACTTTTACCGCAGGTTCGGGCGCCCTACCAGCCGCGGCTGCCAATCAGCGCCGGCACGCCCGACCCATCGACGGCGGTTTCGACTCCCTTCTCGAGCCTGCGATTTTCGAATCCGCGATTTCGCCGTCGCGCGCGCAGCTCGCCGTTTCTGCCTCTTTTGCATCCGATTTTACATCCACCGGCGGAGATTGCACGGAACTCGGCGTTTACTCGAGTCTGTCGTGGTCGGCGGAGAAGCGATCCGAAGGGGACAGGAGTTCTCGCAAGGAGGCAATTACACGGTGGGTTACCCGCGCCTCGGCCGGGGGAAGGGGGTGAAGCGTTTCCGTCGGCGGACTCCTTATTTCCTCCCATTATGGTCGGTGACCAAATAAAGTATGGATGAAAGTAACGGAGTTTGCCACTAAGCACGGCGCAACAGAGGGCGGTGGTTTCCAGGGGGACGGGGGTGAGTTCGCAAGTTCGGAGCCGCGGGAAGTTCGTATCCGAGAATCGCCAGTTCCGAGTTCGCACATGCAACCCCTCCAGTCGAGGAGACCGACCCTCGCGTCCCCTTCGCTCCCTCGCGACGTTTCCACTTCTGGCAAGCGCCGTTGGCTCGCGTTTCCCTCAAATGAAAACTTAACGTGGGCCCAACTTTTCCGCATTAAGGCACAACCCTGATCGCGCACCGCTCTTGGTCCGAGGGTGCCCACTGCAACTCGCGCAACAAAAAAGGAGTAACGCTGCATGCACATGGTACATGCATTTATGATAACGACCCCTTATTGGGAAGCTCCGACGAGGAGTACCCCCAATAAGCCCGGTCGACCCTTGGGTTCTCCAAGCCCGGTTCGAGTAATCGAATCCGCGGTACAGGGCGAACTAACCAGCTTCATTGAAACAAAACTGCTACTTTTTTGGTCCGACCAGACAGCTCCGCGTTTCGAGCCGCCTCCGGCCAGGATCGGGAAACTGCCAAGTGCTCTAATTTCGTTTATTACTTAATCCTCGTCCCCAATCCAGGACTCCTTTACGAGCGTCTGCTTCCGCCAAGTCGGGGGTTCGTTTTTTCGAACCCTGACGTATTTACGAGCCGAAGCTGCGATCATTAATAAGTGCCTTCCTCGGATCCAGGGATGTCGATACTCTCTCAGGGAAGGAAATACATATTCGAGTAGTTTCGATATCTTACTACCGCTTGGAAACCGCCTCCAGTATCGGATGCATTTAAAAAGTTCAAACCGGGTCGTGAACCCCGCCTCTTACTCGCAGGTG